CAAATTTTTTTTTTTTTTTTTTTTTTTTTTGCTTTCTGAGAAAACTAGTAAAATGTTAACCTAGTTGTTGAATTATAAACAAGCAATGCTTAAACGGCACAGTAATTACTTTATTGTTTCAAAATAGAGAAAAATCTAGTTGGTTGACTAAGGTGAATTATGATTTTTTTTTGGCCAGCATTATCGTTTGAAATTATATATATTTCATTTTCTCCTTTAATTTTCTTTTTAAACTTCAATACCTTTTATTTTCTTTCTATAAGAGTCACTTTTCCATCAGAAATTGTTACAATAAAATTGATGCTTTTAATATGTTGCTTGTATAATTGCATTTATACGCTATTAAAGTTCAATTAACTATATTCTCAAAACTTTCTGTTTACCTCGAAAATATGAGTAACAATTAAATTTAATTTGTAGTTTTAAGGATACGTGATTTAGTTCAATACCAATTAATAATCAAGAAATATGCAATATAGATGAAGGGAATAAGTAAAACCAAACCAGTAGAAAGGTCAATCTCAACCTCGAGCCCAGTGACCTCGAGACGGGCTAGAACAATAAAGCAAGAATAATAAAGCTAAAGGACAATTTTGATGAACAATGAGCGAAAAAGTAAGATAGTAGATTCTTTGCCAATAATCAGATGATCTTTACAGATGATTGGGGTCCCCTTTATATAGGGGGAGGAGAGCCCTAAATAAGGTACATTTCCATTTACAGTAAAGAATTTTACTGGGACAGCTGTATAACCGCCTAGTACAGATTTGTACTAATTCGTACGAATCAATTCTGAAATTTACGTCATGATCTTGGGGACGTGGCGAGAATCTTGTCCTTCTGTAACAAACTCACAACTACACTATCTCGGAGTCGGTCATACTTGGCTCCGATATTCCTCGAACACTCAGGTCTTCGAGCCTCTTATTTTGCCTTCGGGCCTGGGTTTGGTCTTTATCGAACTTCTACCCTCGGTGCGACGTCTTGAGCCTACTAAATTGGGGGTACCTGATTTCACCGTATACCGATAGTCCACGCATTTCTTAGAGTAAAATGATAAGAAACGATTTGAATCTCGATTTTTCGGAGCCCTTGATGATGACGTCATCCCTGTGATGTAAATGCTCGAAGTGACCGAACGTCCCATCAGTTCGCTTCCCCAAAACATTAAATGCATGCCAGTAATGGTCGGCCACTAGCGTCGTTGAACCGTCGCTGCCCATCTATAAATATAAGGTCTAATCCCTGAGAAAGCTTTACTTCAATCTTCAAACCACCTCTGAACCTCCTTTATATCTCTCTCTCTCTTCATCTCTTTCCTTTCATTATCTGCTTCTACCACCTTCTTAGTGCCGGAAAACGCCAAACTCTGCCGTCTTCTGCATCTTATAATCCAGGAATATGGCAAAAACCTCTAAAATAGTCCCTTAAAAAGAAAAGGTTTCCTCTTCTTCTTCTTCCCGACCGGCCAAACCCGTGGTGCCACCGGCTCTTCATGAAATCACTCCCGGCCCTTGCGTGATAAAGAAGGATTTCAATATTGAAAATCCTCCCTATATCCCAGGCCGATGTGAACATGTATCTCGATATATCAGTTTGATATCGAAGATCTCAAGATCCTGAAGAAGGATTGCGGCTGGGGAGACGAGGTTGTGGTACAAATTCCCGACCCCGAGGAAAGTATCACTACTCACGTGGAGGGATTCTTAAGTGTTTACACTTACCCCTTTACACTGGGTCCCCTCGATCTGGTAGTGATCGATTTTTGCAAAAGGTACGAGGTTACCCAAGGCCAGATCCATCCCTCCTTTTGGCACATCATGATTATGTTGCGCTATTTTTCCAACAAGGCCGAGGGATTGGAGTTTACCCTCAACCATCTCATTCGGTTGTATCGGCCTCCGCTGTTTTGAGGGCTCATCAAGCTTCAACGTCGATCGAAGAAAACCTTATTCGCTAGTAACGATGAGGATAAAGAACGAGGCTGGATGAGCCGTTTTATCAGGGTGAGGACCTCAGATGTCATCCCTAAGGGGAAAATGCCGTTCCCGGAGAAATGGAACTTTAATCGCAAGTGAAGTCTTTCTCCAAATACCCATTCATATTCTGCTTCTGTGTTTTATAACACCTTTACTTTTCCTGCAGTTGTTGCTTGGATGCCTCATATGGTCCCCAACATCGAGGGCAAGGTTCGAAAGTTAGCTGCCACCTCCTCGTACGTGAGCGCAAATGGTGCGAATTATCGAGGTGCAAGTGGGAGGCCAAACATCATGGTAAGTTCTCTTCCCATAGTTTTGATACTTTTTGTTTATTGGTGATGCCACCTTATTCATGCTTATCTGTGAAGGCATCGGAGATGTCTCCGAAATGAGGCTAGCCATGTCCGGGGAAGAGACCGAGTCCCCGGTCCCAAAATCGAGGAAAGACAATAAAAGAAAAAGAGCTTCGAAGCCCGAAGATCCCCAAGATGAGAGGGCCCCTACTCGAAGGCCAAGGAGGAAGCTTATCCTGTATTTGGATTCAGCCATCCAACATCGGGAAGACAAAGAGAATTAAGGCTAAGAGTCAGCGCTGGTGCACTGAACTAGGAAACTAGTTGAGGCCGTCAAGTCCTCCGAAACTGAGACCTTACCTCCTGGTGAAAGACTCGGGCAAAACCCTCGAGTTCCCCGCAATCGAGATCATTCCCCCTTTTTCGACAACTACGCCGGAGGGGACAAATGCTGAGAAGGCCGAAACTAATCAGAGCCCCCCGAGTGAGGAGCTCGGGGCCATGACAATGGGTCACTCACCTTCTCTACCATGTTACTCCGAAGAGGCAATAAAGGATGCCCGGGCTCTGCCAATGCCCATCCCGAGAAAGGTTCTTAAAGAAGACCCTTTTTGAGACTGTTTCATCGGGGTTGACTATGCCGTTGACCTTAATGATGTATCTACCCTCTTCGAAGAGGCTCAACATCTCTTCTCTCGAGTAAACACTATCTTTTATTGGTGTAATTTTCTGTTTCCTTCCCTTCCTCTGACTGACATGTCTTCGTTTCATGTGTAGTCTATTATTAAGTTCAAGGCCCAGTTGGGCCAATGTGAGGCCGAGTTAAAGAAAGCTTCGGATGAAGAGAAAGCCCTGAGGCTCCTCTGTAGCCAAAAGGAGGAGGAGCTCAAGGATCTTCGGGCTGACTTGGCCAAAGCTCAAAGAAACGAGGTCGAGCTAGACGAACAGGTAATTGTGATTTTAATAGATTATGGCCTTACTGCATAGTCTAACGCTTCAATGTCTCAGCTGTAGCAAAAGCTGGAGATGATTGGGCAGCTCCGGGGTGAGGTCGATCAAGTTAAGGCCGATTGCCACTAATGGAAAGAGAATATGGATCGGCTCGCTGCTGATAAAGAAGCTGCTATAGCCCAATTGGCCTCGACTGAGACTTAGCTCCGAGGTATTAAAGTGAAAAATCTGGCCTAGGACAAGAAAATCGAGGAGCTAGGGACAGAACTTGCTAAAGCCGGGGCCGAGGTTGTAGAGGCGAAGGCTGAAGTTGAGAAGATGAAGGCTACGGCTGATAAGACTATCGTCGTATAATTGAGGGATGCCAAGGCTGTCCAAGCGGAGCTGAGGGAGGCCTCCGACCAGGAAAAATAGAGTAATGATTTGGCCAAATGTCAAGCCTAAATGGAGACTCTCGAAGAAATCCACGCTCGAGGATTCGACCTCACCAACGAAATAGCCCAAGAAAAAGCATTGGAAACCGATGCCAGATTTCTTGTCTCTTCTGACGATGAAGATGGAGTCCCCAAGGAGGAAGTTCCCAGAGATGCGGCTACCGAGTATGCAGCTCCCAAAGATGTGGTTCTCGGGGATGTGGCTCCCAAAGTAGATTACTTTCTTTTTGTTTTTGTTTCTTTTTTGTGTAAGGGCCCCTCGTAGGTGTTGTGAATATCTTTTGTAAATATCTTCTATAAATATAAAGAATTCCCTTGCTTCATCACCGATTCTGCACTTTTCTCTATTTTGTGACTTTTGATAACTTCAACGATCAAGTGGACATTGGTTCAGATTCTAAATATAACGAACCCTTAGGCTTTTAATAATGAATGGGCGATCTTCGAGCTTATAACAGAATACCTCTTAAGGTTTTTGGTAATCCTCGAACTATGCCCTAGTTAATTTGATGCGAGCTCGGGATGACGGGACTCTTGAGTCCGAGTTGAGTGAGAGCAAGGTCTCGAACTCTACATGTTTTGGCCCTTAGGCTCTTTTTATATTGGCCCTTAGGCTCTTTTAGGTCGGCCCTTAGCATGTGTTTTTGTACCCGTTGGGCTTTTTGAAGGTTCGATCAATTGCAAACTCATTTGTAATTCATTAGTGTAACGATAATCGAATACCTCTTGAGGATTTTTTGAAGGCTGATATTATCGAAGCCTTTAAATTATTCGAGGGTCGATTTTATCGAAGCCCTTTATCATTTGCATTTGCCGAGGGTAGCCTGGTTTAACCGATTTTTTCAAAGTATTCGAAGGCCTTTAGTTTAGGGCGGAAGTCGGATCCGAG